GAGAAGAAGAAGAAGAAGAATAATAAGAAGAATAATAAGAAGAATAAGAAGAAGAAGAAGACGAATAAGAAGAATACGAATAAGAAGAAGAAGAAAAATAAAAAGAAGAAGAAGAAGAAGACGAAGAAGAATAAGCAGAATAAGAAGAATAATCATAATAATAATAGGAAGAAGAAGAATAATAAGAAGAATAATAATAAGAAGAAGAAGAATAAGAAGAATAAGAATAAGAATAATAATAATAAGAAGAAGAATAATAAGAATAAGAAGAAGAAGAAGAAGGAGGAGGAGGAGGATGAGTAGGAGGAGGAGGAGGATATGATGATTAGGAGGCGGAGGCGGAGGAGGAGAGGAGGAGAGGGGGTGAAGGAGGAGGAGGGGGAAGAACGAGGAGGAGGAAGAGGAGAGGAGGAGGGAGGAGGAGGAGGAGGAGGAGGAGGAGCGAGGAAGGAAGGGGGAGGAGCAGGATGAGGATGAGGAGGAGGAGGGAGGAGAGGAGGAGGAGGAGAGGCGGAGGAGGAGGAGGAGAGGAGGGGGGGGGAAGGAGGGGGAGGGGGAGGGGGAGAGAGGACCAAGGTACCGTTGCGCTCGCGTCATATCTTACATCCTACCCCTCCCGCCCATCCCTTACCGTGGCGCAGATCCCCTCTCTACTCGCTCAGCCGGATGTCGAGCAGGGCAATGATGGGTACGCGATGCATTGTAGAGCACGGCATGGCATGGCGTAGAAGAGCACCGCAAAGCGTAGTATCAACCTAGCATTGCAGTGCATGCCGTGGCATGGCACGGGAAATGACGCCAGCGCTGCAGCGGGAGCACGAGTCGAAACGAGCGGAAGCGCGGAAATGAGGCCAGCGCTGCAGCGGGAGCACGACTCGGAACGAGCGGAAGCACGGAAATGAGGCCAGCGCTGCAGCGGGAGCACGATTCGGAACGAGCGGGGCCCGAAAATGAGGCCGGCGCCTCGGCGAGAGCAGCATTTTGAAAAAAATGCAGGCGAAAACCCAACTCCGGGGAAACCTGTGTAACAAAAACAGTACGCGGGGGGGGGTCGGACACTCCCAGGCTGTCATCAGGGGAAGAGGGAGAGTAGTATTCATTTTGAGTAACTGAGGAGGAGGAGGAGGAGGAGGAGGAGGAGGAGGCTGTGGAGGATGAGGAGGGGAAAGGAGGGGAGGAGGAGGGGGAGGGGGAGGGGGGGAGGAGGAGGAAAGGAGAGGAGCTGAGGAGAGGCTAGGAGAGGAGGAGGGGGGAGGGAGGTGGAGGAGGGAGGAGGAGGGGGAGGAGGGGGGAGGATGAGGGAGGAGGAGGAGGAGGGAGGAGTAGGAGGGGAGGAGGAGAGTAGGAGGGGAGGAGGAGTATGATGAGGATGCGTGGTAGGACTGATTCAGGATTGGGTTTAGTAGGAGTGAGGCGGATGAGGATTGATTTTTGGTAGTTAGGATGAGTCTGATTAGGTAGTCATTTGAGCTGAGGAGGTGGAGTTCAGATGTTTGGGAGGAGGAGGAGGGGGAGGGGGAGGCCTCGGTCTTTTTTATGGGCGTGCCCCATTGAGAAACACGCAACATTGCCCAAACGTCAACATGCACACCCCAGAGCCTCGTGACCTCCGCGGCCTCGGGGCCCCTCCCTCCAGTTGCTTTGAGCTTTCCCTTTCTTTCTTGCGCCCTGGGCCCGAGCATTTTTGGCGTTCCGCCCGTGCCACCACCCTCGAGGGCCTACCAAAAGATCGGCGGCGAGCGAGGGGGGGAGTAAGGAGGAGAAGGCCTTCCCTTCTCACCTGCTCCCCCTCGCTCGCCGCCGAGAGAGAAGGCGGGTGCTGCGCCATGGCCAAGCGCGCCCGCCTTTCGCCTGGTGGCCCCGGGCTGCGCGCTGCACCTGCCGCTGGCTCCGACGGCCTCTCCGATGGCCTTTCAGACGGCCTTGCTGACGGCCTTCCCGACGTCGCAGCGCCCCCGCCGCCGCCGACCGGCCCCGTCGCCATACCCTTAGTTCGGGCATGCCCCTCTACAGGAGGAGTATTCAAAAAGTGCAACTAATAATACGGGAACGATTTTTCTACTATATTTGACATCTTATTCCGCTTTTTGTTGTTTTTGTTTTTGTTTTGGTTTTTCAATGTCCTCCAACATCCGCCTGTAGGAGGACATGCCCGACCTAACCATACCCGACGCCGTACCCGCTGGCGGGAACGCAGTCAACGTAACAAGTTGATTCCAAGTGTTTCGCGCATCCGTGTTTGAAATCTATTGGTGTTTGAAAGATCCCGGGTGTCCTGTTCAACTTTTCGGCTTCATGCGCACGGTTGCTTGGGCAACGACTTCGCACAGCGCTCCTCATTGGTGTACGCATGCTTGTCCAGCGCAGCTGCTTGAGACAGCCGCTACACAACGCATGTGCGTTTAGGCTTGATTGCCCAACACGGTTGCTGAACCCATGCTCTAATACATGGGTGTTGCGGCTCGGTTGCTCAATACAGTTGTTTAGTGTGATGACTAAACACATTGTTGGCTACACGAGTTCGCGCGCCTCATGTCGATGGTCCCATCTTTCGGAAGCATTTCCAGCATCATTGCGTGCACCCCCCTGCTCGATTTGTGCGAGTTTCGGCACGCAAGTGGTACGTGCATATGTGCACGCTTGCGCTTGCTCAATGCAAGAGCGCAGTCTTGCACGTGCCCAGAGCCTCAGCGCAGCATGCCTGCTGCTTCCTCGCCGTGCAGGTCGCGGAAGTGGCTCGCACGAGGCCCGCTTCTGCTGGCGGCGACATCCGCGAGCAGGTGCGTGCAGGCGTCGGCCCCCATTCGCTTTTGATGCCTGCGCTTTGAGAAGAAAAGGCTGAGAATTTGGTCAGGGTGGATCTGATCTTGGTCGAGAAGACAAGATTTCTGTTTGGGCGGTGCGGGCGGGGGGCGGGGGGCGAGGGGCGGTGGCACGCACACGTGCAGTCCTGTCGGCCGGTATACCCCCCTGCATCGTCGTTGGGCCGGGCCTGGTTGTTTACCAATGGTCCGTTGGGCCGGAGGTGATGCACGCGCAGCGCCGTCGTCTCCTTGCTCCCTGGCCTCCCTCCTCCTTTTATCCTTCTTCTCCTTTTCTCCTTCTCCCTCCTTTTCTCCCTCCTTCTCCCTCCTCCTCGTCCTCCTCCTCTTCTTCCTCCTCCTTCTCTTCTTCCTCTGCGGCCGTCACTTTTGAGTTACAGGCTGTCGACTCAAGGACGCTGCAGGGCGGACAAGACAGACGAGTGCAGTCGTGTTCGTGTCGGCTTTGGGCTATCAAAAAAATAAGCGTTCCCAAAAATTGCTTGCCCCCTGGCAGAACTTGACGCCGCATGACAGCATTTCTGATATGTATTCCGATGCATGCCTTTTCACGTAAACCCGCACATCAATCTGTGATTCCCTCTCGCGAGATCTGCTTGTGTGATCTCCCTGCTTCCTTTGCGTGGTGCTTCTGATTAATTATGATTTCCGCCGGTGCCCATTTCGCGCCGAAGCCGCCGATACGCGTCAGAGCACATGCAATCACAATGGATGAGGGGACGTTCTATGATGGTGTGGTCCAAATTTCACGTATCGTTCACGAGCTGCCTATGGTGAGTGCAGCACGTGCGATTAGTTATTTGGCGTGCGCCCCACAAGCGCAGGCTAATCTTGACATACATTCAAGCGGAAGCGCATGTACAGGCATGCCTGGCGATACATATGTTGTATTTGGTATCAGCATATCTTGTTTCAAGAGACTTACGCCGTTCCGCTGGCCCCCAGAAAAGAACATTTGCAGGTTACGATTTCGTATATGTTGTTTGCCGCTTCCAGTTGTGCAGCTTGCGTGTAGTCGTTGCTGGTTTGTCTTCCTCTTCCTCTTGGGGGCCTCTTGTAGGCTTTGGTGGCGACCTCTTGGGAGCCCTTTCAGGGCGCATGCTTCTGTCATTGCTTTCGTGGGGCGTGCTCCTGGAGCGCACGCCCCTGACCGCTCCGATGGTGGGAGGCTCCTGGAAACCTCCCGCCGTCGGAAGGCTGCCATTCTGGCCCAGTCCTGCTTTTGAGCCCCTCCTGAGCCGAGCCCCACGGGCGGTGCTGGGGGGGGGTGCGGGCGCTCGGGCCCGGGAGCCCACACCCTCCCGGCGGCCCCCGGCTTCCCCACCCGCCCAAGCCTCGTGAGGTGCGGCCCGCCCGCCCGGGGAGTGGTGGAGGCAGGGAGCAGCACAACCCCCTCGGCGGCATTGGAAACATATGCTGATGTCTTCTCTCCTCGCCTGTGGTTGGCTGGAGGAGGATTACAGTGGAGACCCATGCCAAGAAACACCCTGCTTGCCTCCAGGGTACCCTAGGTTTCGATTGTTTTGCGATGGAAGCCCTGACGTTCACATCACAAAAATCAATGGACGTCCTGGGGTCTCAGGCCTGGGTTTCTTGTGGAAGGTTTCTTGTGGACTGGCCTCCATTGTAAGTGGGAAGGAAGGCTTGTGCTTCGCTCATATGAGGGGCTCTTGGGGGGCCCTTGGGATCAGGTGGGGTGTCCTGGGAAGCCAGCTTGTGGGGGAGAGGCTCCTGACGACCCTACGAGTTCTACCTCCCCTGAGCTCCGATGTTGCGACACATTGCAACATCGTAGGAGGAGGAGGAGGAGGAGGAGGAGGAGGAGGAGGAGGAGGAGGAGGAGGAGGAGGAGGAGGAGGAGGAGGGGGAGGAGGAGGAGGAGGACGAAACAATTGCAACATCTTGAATAATCGCGACCGAAGCCTTTTCTGGCCGTTTTCTCGCTCGGCAGTCCTGCCCTGACGTTCTAGATGGCGACAATGGTAGCGAGGCTGCCTGCGTGGTTTGCTCCTCCACCGTTTTCAAGCTTTCCTCGGGACGCCACTCGCTGTGCCTTGAATGTTGCCCTTCCTGCGCTGGCTCCCGCGCGGGTGAAGACCGTCCTCGCGGAATCGGCTACGTTCCAGCGTCTGCCGGGGGGTAATCTGCTGATGCGCCCCAGCCGCCCCATCTTCCTGCGCCAGTTTTCAAGCCAGAGCGATCTGTGCGGGTCCCGGGGCCCGAAGCAGGACGAACACGCCCGTTGTGAGAAACATTGGAACACCAGGGTCTCGGGGTCTTGGGCCTCTCTTGCCCCTGTTGGGGCCCTCTTGCCCTCTTTGGGCCTTCTCGAGGGCGCTGTTGGTTGTCTGGGAGACCTCTTGGGGGGCAGTCTTGGGGCCCTCTTGGGCCATCTCCGGACCCTTTTGGGAGGCCTCTTCGGCCGTCCTGGGCCGGTCTGGTGGGCTTCTCGGGCCATCTCGGGCTATTCAGGAAAACAATTATCGGGTCGGGAGGGTGTGGTTGGGAGAAATGAGGGTGTCAGTACCCGTAGTCGGCCGAAGGTATCGTTCATTGCATCTGGATGCTGTTGCTCATACCCTTCATCCTCCCAACCCCCTCCTCCCAACACGATGACTGTTCTCCTCAGCTTTCAGAACCCCGAAATGGTGAGAATACGAACATCCTTCCACAGCATTTGAGCAGCCAGCGCTTTTGCGTCTTGAGGCTGTCCCATGGATCCTCTTAGAGGCCTTCTTGGGGCGTCTGCGGGGGCACCTTGGGCCGTCCTGAGGCCATCTCTGACGCTCTGACGTGGAGGCCACTCCGGCGCGCTGGAGCCCTTCTCGAGCCGCCTTCATGGGTATCTTGGGCGTCTTGGAGTCCGCGGGGGGTGGACTTGCAGGCTCCGAGGCTCAGTTGCCTCGCTACGCGCGTTCTGAAACGCAACACGTCCCATGTTCAAGACGTCCGTGCCAATACGTTGCGTGTTGGTTCCACGTACTGGACCACGTTTCGGCGAACATGTCGCGTCGGACCCACGTTTTCAGCCTACGTGTTGAGCTCCGTATCAATACGATACGCGTTGCGTGTTGCGCATCGGGGCAGCTAAGCTCCGAGGGCCAGGGAGGTGCGCCCATGTACTCGTCAAACCCACTCCGCTCCAACTGGATTGTGGACCCCACGGAAGGGCGAAGGTGGGAGGGGGACAGCCAGCAAGCCGTGAAGGAGGAAGGGGGAAGGAGGCAAGGGGGAGGGACATATCTGCGACGTCCTTTCACCCCGGGCAATCGGGGGTCGGCGGACAGCAAAGTACGCAGTACCCATGCCCTCCGCCCTCCCTCATTGCCCTCTCTTATGTATCTCTCCTCTCTCCCTCGTCTCTCCCCCATTCTTCTGGAAACTGGAATTCAAGGGAGACAGAGTGGCAGGCGTAGGCCTAGACGTTTGGCCCAGCGCCTGGTCTGTTTAGTCACGCTCTTGGCCGAGATCTCCCATCTGGTCGGTCTGATCTTGGTCCCGCACAGGTTGGAGGGTTCCACGGAGGGTCAGGAAGAGGTGCTCGGGCCAACACCCCCCTCCCAGACATGCTTTCCAGCTTCGGAAAGGGGGAGGAGGAAAATACCTGGATCCAGCCCCCTCTGCCTTAATCCTCTCTGGAACCCTCCACGGTGATCTTTTCGGAGGCGTCCGTCTGAGTTCCTCTTTTGCCCATTCCCTGGCCCCCTCAGTCTGTGAAACTCTTGATGTAATTGTTTAAAAACGAATGTGCGCGGCGCTAAGGCGATAGCCACATTTTGATAACCACCCGCCCTCCATCTGTGAAGCTGATGCTACCTTTAACGCTTCAGAGTCATAAGTGTTGAGGAAGTCTCAGGCGACACGCTCAGCCCCCCAAAAACTTGCTTCGGGGTGCGACAGGGAGAAACTATTGATAAGGAAAAGAAATGTATTTATAAGGAAAAGAAATGGATGATGCTGCTGATAATGATGATGAGGAGGAGGAGGAAGAGGAGGAGGAGGAGGAGGAGGAGGAGGAGGAGGAGGAGGAGGGGAGGAGGAGGGGCAGGATGAAGGAAGAGGAAAGAGAGAGGAGGACAAAGAGACGAGGAGGAGGAGGGTACGAGGAGGAGGAGGAGGAGGAAGGAGAAAGAGAGAGGAGGAGGAGGAGAGAGGATGGAGGAGGAGGGAGAGAGGAGAGCAGGAGGAACGGAGGAGGAGAGGAGGAGGAGGAGGAGGAGGAGGAGAGGAAGAAGGAGAGGAGGAGGAGGAGAGAAGAAGGAGAGGAGAAGGAGAGAGGAGGAGATGGTAGGAGGAGAGGAGGGAGGAAGGAGGAGGAGAGGGAGGACGAGGACGGGGAGGAAGAGGAGGAGACAGGAGGAACGGGGGGAGGAGGAGGAACAAGGGGAGTAGGAGGAGTAGGAGGAGGAGGAGGAGGAGGAGGAGGAGGAGGAGGAGGAGGAGGAGGAGGAGGAGGAAGCGGAGGAGGGAGAGGGAGAGGGAGAGGAGGAGGACAGGGGATGATGATGATGAGGAGGAGGAGGAGGAGGAGGAGGAGGAGGAGGAGGAGGAGGACGGGGAGGAGGAGCTACCAAAAAAAAACGCCCCCGCGAGCCTACGCCTCGACCGTGACCGGCGGCGCTTCCGTGCTGCCCGGGGACGTTGGCGACCCCCAGGCCCGCTCGGCGCTGCTCGGCTACCGCGAGGGCGACGTGAGCCAGTCTGCGGACCTCGGTCGGCAGAGGGCAGGATGATTCAGAGGAGGAAGAGGCACGGATACCATTGAGTCGGGCATGTCCCTCTACAGGAGGAGTCTTCAAACACAGTAACACAATACCGGTCGATTTTTTGTTGTCA